TGACAAGTCACTTTCACAACGACATGGAGGCTGTACTCTGTATACAGAGAGGTCTTTTGTCCCTTTGAGCTCAGCCTGTAGGGGAGCCAAAATCTGTCACCCCAAATATGTCTTGGCAAAAGCTTTATTTCACTGAGGCCTCTGAAGGCTGGTGAATGTGGTTTTTGATATTTAAATGTGATCTCTTTGTAAGGGCCTCTCCCAGGAAGACCTAATCTCCTTATCTCTTCAATGGAGACACAACTTAAATCTGCATATCTTTAATCTAATGTACCTTTTCAGATAAAAGAGGTAATAGAACTTCTTTCTTCCTCCAACCTCCTTAGTCTTAGTTAAGCTATTTAAGATGGCTCCTAAAACCATCTAGGGAGTTACTCAGTGATGCCAGGCTTTTCTCTCTCATACAGGCCATTATTAAATGTATTTTTGTTTTTTTCTTATCTGTCTGAAGCTTCTTTGATCATTTGCCAGCCTAGAAAAACCCAGAGGGTTATGGGGTAGTTTCCTCTGAGCCCTGAAGCCTCAGAACATGTTATCATAGGAGATTTGATCTCTCTCTTCCACATCCACAGAATGTCACCTCTGCTGCCCAGACCTGGGTCCATTGCTCATCACAGGGGGCCTTTTACATTTGTGTGTGGACACTCAACTCACACCTTCATGTTCCATTTACTCTTTCTTCTCAATCAGCTGCTCCTTGGCCACTTGAAAGCCGAGGGGAAAACACACCAGTGCCACTCTCTGGAAGACAAATGAGCTCTAGAACCATCCAGATCCTCCTGGGAAGAAAATCTGAGGGTGTGAGGAGGTGGTCCAGGCATCCAGAGCACAGTCTAGAACATGGGGCAATGTTCTAGGTGAGCAAGTCTGGTTGGCTTCTTGATCTTTTGTGAGTGATGCAATTGGAGCAAAACCAGAGTGGGGCCTTTTAAAACCTAGGGCCCCAAGCAGGGACCCCTCGGGCTCAGGTCAAATGACAATGGCAATTCTTTGCAGCCAGTGATTTTACTCTAGACTCTGGAGTCGGATGGATCCTTGTCAATTTCGGCTCAGGTTGCAAATACATTGGAGAAGTTATTCATCTGTTTGGTTTCTTCAATTGTAAAAGGGGAGGAGGAAAAGAGACAGGCTGTTACGAAGATTGAATGAGAAAACAATCACACTGTTATAGGGCATCTCAATTCTGTTAGAGAACAGGGAGAGAGAGAGGCACCCCTGAAGCCCCAAAACCTGCCTGCTCTAAGTGGGTTCTGCCATCTGCCGCAACAGACAAAGCATATAAAGCTTTAATGAAAAGGGACTTTAATACAGTGAATATACAATATGGAACACAAAGAATATAACTTCTAAATCAAACACCTGAAGTTACCCACCCTTGTGGGCAAAAGTCAACCCAAAAGGGATTGGCCCAAAGCAAGGCCTAAAAACACGCCACAAGACTAAAGCACCTTCTGGCCAGGACCCATGGAAAAGGGTCAGAAATGGCCAGACAAATCTGGGAGGAAAAGAGCAAAATCAAAATCAATATAAACACTGCCATAGTCACCTCCCTACAGGTCTCTCACCCACATCTGCCTTAACCAGCCCAGGGTCAGGAAACAAGAATGGCTTCTTCATCACATGCTTGCTGCTCCATGTGGCTTCCCTAGGTCTCCGTATTTTTCTCCATCTGGCTTCCTTCTTTTTTCTCCTTTCTCCTTTTTCTCTGCTCAGCTCCACCCTCCTTCTGGGTGAGGCAGGGAACCTGGAACTTCCCTTCTCCTAGGGACCACCCAGTTACAACACAAGCACCTACCCTGTGCCTGGCATATATAACCTCGATCAGGGCAAGTCTGTGAGGGGCCAGAGATGCTGCCTCCTTAGAGGAATAGCCAGGGCCAGAAGAGGTGGTGCAGCTGAGCAGACTGAGGGAGGGGTTTGAACTGGAGGCAATGAACTTTTTCTTTACTTTCTGTCATTTTCCTGGAAATGTACAAAGAGAGTTGTGAATTTTTTTCAGTCGTAAACCTTTAAGACTTGTTCTAGAGCTCTCTCCTTGAGAGACGAGCTGTATGTCATTCTCTGATAAAACTCCACTTCTTAGCATATTGCCTGGTATATAGTAAATGCTCAATAAAAAAGCATTGGAAAGATGACTTCAAATTGGGTATATTGATTTTTTAAATATTTATTTATGCTTACAGAACTGGGGTACAGGCCAGAGGTGTGGTAGGTGAGAGGATTCACCAGAGACAGAGTGGGGAGAAGAACAGGCAGATCAACAAAATATACTGCTGAGGGGAGCAGCGGGCAGGTCAGGAGAGGTCTGCCACGCCATGTGGGTCTGCTCCCTGGAGGGTGCTGCAGTGGCTTCAGAGAGCTTTGTAATATTTTGTCCCAACTTCTGTGACCGGCCGAAAGACAGAAAGGCAGAAAGGCTGAGCAAGCAGAGTTTATTGCTCCAGGACAGCAGCTGAGACGGAGCCCCTAGAGTGGGGTCCGCAGCTACTGCCTGCCCTATGGGGGGGAGGGTCTCTTATATAGATTCTAAACTCAGATTCCAAAGGGGTGACTCATCCCTGTGTCCCTTGATGTGAGGCCCAATTCCTTACCACCTTCTTCTAGTCCCATCCCGGATGCAAGGCCCAGTTAATTGGATGCAAAGCCCAGTTTATTACGGCCTTATCACTCTTGGATGCAAGGCCTAATTTATTACTGCCTTTATCCAGTTCCTCAGTAAATCTCCGCACTTGGTCACTCCCAACATATAATGGGGTGCTTTAACCTGTTGCGCCACCAAGTTTTTTTTTTTAAGATTTACGTATTTATTTATCATACAGAGCTGGGGTACAGGGGCGATGAGAGGATTCACTGGAGACAGGGTGGGGAATAGAACAGGCAAATGTACTGAAGTACACTGCTAAGGGGCACAGCGGGTGGGTCAGGAGAGGTCTGCCATACCATGGGGGTCAGCTCCCTGGCAGGGAATCAAACTCATGCTGCAGCAGCTTCGGAAAGCTTCATAATGTGGTGCTTTAGCCCATTGCGCCACCAGGGAAATCCTGGGTATATTGATTTTAATGGAAAACTCTCATCATATGTTATCTCTAAAGCTTCCATGGACATCTCAAACTAGAATGTATAGAAATACGCTTCTTTCCCCAATTCCCTAATATAGGACCCCCAACCACTTCAGGTCAGCAGTTAGGGCAATGTGCTGGCTCTTGTCACCCCTTACACCTAATCAGTTATAATGCCCCAGATATTGTATCTGTTGAGTGTGACGATTTGGGCAATACCACAATGACCAAAAGGGCCTTGCATCCCATTCAGGTGTAAAGTGCCATTAAAAAAAAAAAAACAAAAACTAAAGCCTGTGTAAGAGACCCTTCCCCCTACAGCACTTGCAGTAGCTGCAGACCCCACCCTTGGGAGCTCAGTCTCAGCTGCTGCTTGGGAGCAATAAACTCTGCTTGTTCAGCCTTTCTGCCTCCTGACTTTCTTCCTTGTGGCTGGACACAGAAATCGGGACAAAAGAGTATCTAGTTGGTAGTTTTTTAAATTTATCTGATTCATTATCACAAACCTAATTAGGCAACTATTCTCTCTCCCCTAAGACACTGTTGTTGCCTTTTAGCTGGTTGCCTCATACGCACTAGTTGTCCCTGAACATGTCCTTCTCAGCGCAGCCAGAATAGCCTTTACATATGTGATCACATCCCTGCTAGGTTTATGTTAAAATTCAGCCTCTTGGGCATAACATCTGGGGCCCCCGGTCTCTGTAATTGTGCCCCACTAGATTTCTGAATCTTTGAGAACAGGCTTTGTTTTACATTTCTTTGTATTTCCTATGATCAGTCCGAAACTCACTCTTTGTTGGCCAAGTGAATACAGATTTTAAAAATTGAAAACTTAATCCATTGAGAAAATCATAGAATTCAAAATCACAGACAAACTATCAAATATCAGAGCTGCACCTGGACAGCTGTACCGACAGCTACCCCTGAGTGGCCGTGGTGATCGGACTGGGGGAACAGGCCACAAGCCTGCTGGCTGCTTTGGTTCAGGGCACTGGACCCCTTCCAAGGACCTTCCTTTGGATGTGAAGTTAATTTAGGCCTGGTGTGAGTCACTCAATGGCTATTTCTAGAGATCACTTTTCTCTGGAGTAGACTCTACTGACACCTGACACTCTTAAGTCATGTGCTTGCTCAAGAGAGCCCATGCTCATCTGGTTCAGGGCATCCTCAGGAACTCATCTTCCGTATGGAAGGATTTGATTAGACATCACGGAAGTGGCCAAACTTTGATCCATCACACCAGCTGTGTGCTCACATCAGCTTTCTTTTTTCATCAGTCATAAGGGTTCATCCAATAGTTGCTGCAGGGAAAGTGATTATGGTCTGATGTCTAGCACAAAGAGTCATGCCACTGATAGGCTGGTTTTCCCCCCCATTGGATCAAGTCCTTAATGTCTCTGAGTCTCAATTTAGTCATTTTAATGGTGATAAAACTTGTAAATATCTGATGAGGTTACTATGAGGATAAAATGAAATTAATTGTGTATTGGGTTTAACATCACATTGTAAAGATCTTAAGAATGTCAAGTTTTGTTAGTTTTTTATGCTTTGCTTTAAATCAGGATTTGAGGGAGCTACTAAAAGCATGGAAAATTATAATATGAAAAGAAATAAATGAGAAAACTAGAGTCAAGAGGGTTATGGCATCATCCCAGAGAATCATAAGAGTTTTGACTTTTCTTGCATCAGATGCCAACATAACCATTTGTTCATTCTTTTGCTGGGACCACACTAACTTCAAACTATTCTTCAGCTAGTGGCATTTATACAAAGGAGTAAAAGGTCTAGTTTGTTCTTAAGTGAAGGAGCGCTCAGAAATTCCTAACCATCCACGTGGTAGGGAGAGACAGTGCAGAAGGACATGTGTACCAGTGCATCTGCTGATAAATCTGCTTATGTTTACGTTTCAGTAATCAACTCGGGGATGAATTGACAAGGAAGATGGCTAAGATTAGCACCCAGTACTCTCACTCCTCCAGGAACCACCTTACGGTCAGGGCAAAGGACACAGATCTTGACCACCTTGAAAATGGCTTCAACAGGTATGATGGACGTTTTATGCTGAAAGAGGTTATTCCTGTAGCAGGTCTAGACTGTGGAAAAGACTGCTTCAGGGGCTGCCAGCCCCATGGTGGAGAGCAGAGCCAGTCACAGCATGCCTTCTAGCTCCCTCTCTCACCCTACTCATGACCCATATGGAAATAGTTATTTTTCTCATGGGGGAGATGTGGAAAGTGAGACTCAAAAAATTACATAAGTTCTAGAAGGTAATGAAATGAAGATTCAAATGCAGTGATTAAATTCTACTATGAAGACTTCCTCACACTGCCATACTTTCCCATGTTTATACCAAACATGTACCCAACTCTGCCTGTGCCCCGCTGTGTGCTGGGCCCTGGGGAGGTGGTAGAAATCACATGCCCTGCCCTCACTTCTAGAAACAGGTCAGGGTTCATACTGTGCTTGCGGATCTGTGCAAAGTCGGCTGTGCCTGTGCCAGCAAAGCCATCAGCCCCACCCAAAATCACCCAATCCAGGTAGCTGTGTGGAAAGCTGGACCCTGGAGTCCTGTTTCTAAGCCTTTGGAAAACTGACTCAGCTTCTCTATGCCTCAGTTTCTTCAACTGAAAAATGAAGAAGCGTTCTTTTCCAAGCTGTTGACATCATTGTGAGGAAATAGTACCTCTTTGGTGCAAATGTAATCCCTTTTCTATGTTTCTTAAATTTTCTTTCTTTTTTTTTTGAAAGATTTATTTATTTATGCATATAGACTGGGGTACAGGTCAGAGGTGCAGGGGCGGCGAGGGGCTTCACCAGAGACAGAGTGGGGAGCAGAACAGGCAGATCCACGAAGTACACTGCTGAGGGGAGCAGCGGGCGGGTCAGGAGAGGTCTGCCGCGCCATGTGGTCACCTCAGGGGCAGGCGTGAATCGAACTCATGCGGAAGTGGCTTAAGTTTCTTTGTGCTGTGCTTTAACCTGCTGCGCCACCAGGGAGGGCCGTGTTTCTTAAATTTTCAATGAGACAATTGAGATGAACCAGAGGAATTTAATTTCCAATACTCACTTAGGTTATTTTTGTCTTACTACTCTCTGATGGCTCCAAAATGTGATGAGTATTTCCCAATCTTCACATCCCCATGATAGGTACTGAATAGTGTCATGATTATGTCACAGTCAGACAGACAGAGAACACTGGTTCATGTACAAGTAAGTCCTCATGTAACATCACCGATATGTTCTTGAGCTGCTACATTGAGCCAGGACATACAAGGATGGGTGCCTTCATCAACACAGAGGCAAGTTCCCACACCATATTTCTGAGGGTGATAACATTACTAAACTTCTAGGGAAATATCCAAAGTACATCTCCTAGTAAGTGGCATTTGTGTTCATTCATTTCAGAGTCTTGAGTGGCCAGAGCCTATCCCAGTAGCTCAGGGTACAGATGGGAACTAACCATACATGGGTGGGGTGAGGTGGGGATGCCCTTCCTCTGCTGGGAACATCATGCACCCACCCACACTCACTGAGACGAGGACAACCAAGTGACACCAATGATGCTCACGTGCACATTTTGGAATGGGAGGAAACCTCAGTTACCCAGAGAAAACACACAGAGACATGGGGAGACCTGCAAAGTCCACACCAACAGTGGATTCCAACCTGGTTTCCTTTTTTTCCCTCATCAGTGTTGTGGCATAGCAACATTGGGAACCTGCTCTACATTACATTTTTAAAGTTTCAAATCATTAATTTGGGGAAACAAAGGAAATAGTGTTTAAACAAACCATAGATCTTTGTCTGGAAATTCCAGGCCTTTTAGGAAGCTCTTAGGAGAAATCATATGTGTGTCCTTCGATCATCATCACTATTCATCTTAAATGATACCTAGAAAGTGCTGAAAACTGGCCTGCTGATGTGGCACTTTGCTGAATGTTCCGTACAGGAAGGAACTACACTGTCCTTATCCCCTGAGACATTCCTGCTCCAGGGTCTTCCACCGAATTTAAGACCCAGGTCTCTGTTTCTCCTTTCAAGTTATTGGGATCATTGTCCTAATGAAGAGTCATAAGGAAAGCTGAAAATGTTTCATTTGAACAAAAAATAAAGTTTATAACCTGAAATTACTAGAAATAAACATGCCTTGAACTTTCCTTTTCTATTTAGCTCTGTGGAGTTGACTCCATGATGTAAGAGCTATCTGGCATTCTTTGTGAGATAAGGCAGTAGGAAAAAACCCTTCAGAGTCTGCTATAGAGAATTGCAGCTTGGACTAATTCACCCCAAATCCCAGGCCATCTCCTGAGGTGTAGCTATTTTAGATGAGCTTTTGGGCATAGGAGTTTGTATTTTATAAGAGAAAACCTTTGTGCTGCTCACTGAGTGGAGCCCAAAGCAATTATCGCCCAAGGAAACCCTTTCAGCTGCTTTCCCAGGACACAAGGCAAAAAGCACTGTCTTTGGTCACATGTGGCCAGTGGCAGTGGGTTTTCTCATACAAGTTTTTCAAGGGCTTTTAGGAAGAAAAGTTATCATATCCTCTACCATTGTTCTAAAGGGTCATTTCTGTTTCTTTCAGTTTCCTAAAATGAGCAGAGGAAGACACAGGTGCTCCAGAGCACAAAGCTATTTACCAGTTCTGGTCCTGATGAGGAACTCTGTTCCCTCCCAAAGCTTGGAAAATACTTTACTTTATAGACATTAGTTTCTCTCAATAAATAAACCAACAAGTTGAGCATTACAAGTTGAAAATTGCCTGGTTTTTCAAAATAATCACCTCATTGATGGTACTGGCCACCCTTGTTCTTGCTCATTACTGACTTCATGGAGCTCCTTCCTACAAAGACATCATCACTACCCAGAATGGGAGCTGGGTGTGGGAAGGCTGCCCTGGGCTGTCCTGGCCTGATCTGCTCATTTGTAGGAACCAAGACCCTGACAAGTCCTCAACCAAGGGCCCTCAGCCAGCTCCAGGCAGGACAGCATCTGACCGCCAGTCTCCTCCATTTCTGTAGTTTGCTGGAAGGTTCTAGAGCCCATTCCTGCATTGATTGCCCAAAGATTTTCCCTTTTTTGAGCTCCTGCCTATCCCTGGGGACTTAAAATGATACCTCAGATCTTCCCTTCTCTTCCCATCTCCCATTCCATCTGCTTGGTAAGATTAGTTTCTCTGAGGACTAACTAATTGCATTTGCTATTTAAATATCCCCAATCACTTAACAAGAGTGAAGACTCCACAGCTTGAAGAAAGATACTGATTTGGCACAATTTCAGGCATCAAGAAATAAGCAGAGAGATGCATTGGAAAGAAAAATTCTCTTGGGTTCCTTAAATTTATACCACAGAAGTTTCTCATTCTTCCTGGCAAACTATGTCTTTCAGGACCGGAGTATTTGCACAATTCTTAGATCAATATGAAATCACCAAGTTTTCCTTTATTGCCTTTTTTGAAAACCAGAAAATGTAGACTCAGGGAAGGTAGAGGACCAGTTCACTACACAAGCTACTGGGTGCTAAGGTCGGATTTCAAACCCTGAGTCTGGGTTTTCCACTCTGCCACAGGCAGCAGCTCTGTCTGCCTCCCGTAGCAGGCCTGCTTTGAAATCCAGCGTGGATCTGCCCTCCCGGCCAGCCCCCAGCCCTGGTGTCACAGGCCTTGATTTCTCTGCTGCTAATACAAATAAACCTGCTCCCAAGACATTCCCACGTGTAATTGACAGAAACCAGACTAGACAGAAATGCTGGACTGGCTGGTCAGTGCCTTGTGCTCCCTGCAGTACTGCTCCTGTGGGGTGGGGGTGCAGAACACTGGCCTCCTTGGGATCCCCTCCAGGTCTTTTGGGCACACATCCTGACAGAGCTCCAACCCACCATTCATTTGCTGCTGGACTGGAGAGATGAGCTCATGTGTCCCCGTGCTACATCCTCCTGCAACTGACCCAGGTACCAGGGAATGCGCATTCTACGTAGGTAGAACATGGAATGGTTTAAGGGAGTGGTAGCTTCCTAGCTGCAGGAGTGTCTGGCAGGGTCTTTATATGTTCAAGTGTGAGAGGTGGATGATGTGGGTGGTCTTTTGTGAGTACAGAAGAATCCAACTAGGCTGTTAGAAAGTGGTCATGCCCAGAGTGCGGCAGGTCAGAGCCAGGACAGCCTTGGGATGGAAGTGAGCTCCCTGCCCGCTAGGGGTGGCAGGGATGCTGGACAAAGGATTTGGCAGCTCAGCGGCTGAGACTCAGAAGTCTGGTTTGTAATCACGCACTAGGGAGACCGGGCACCTTCCTCCTTATGCTAATCCTTGCCTGCATCTTCTACCGTGTTACCACCTTGTTAAGAAGGCTGATTAGGTTGGAATAGGTCATGTGACGGAATTAATTTGTCTTGCCTGGGCTCTTCAAGCCTCACAGAATGAAGTGTAAATCCCTAAAGGCCGATGCCTGGATGACTTTTAATCAGGCTGATCAAGCTTCAGCCCTAGTTCATTGTACAAAAAAGGAAAACGAGGCAGTGGGTTTGTTGCAAAGAACAGCAACATATATAACATACCTTATTCCAGGCAACTCAACAAATTGCAGTCTCTGCTGATGTGCCAGATGTTCACACTGAGTTGTCCTATGTATGCTTGTATTTTTCACCCTGAATTGCACAGGAGAGGTCACCAACTCAGTGACCCCTGCATGGCAGGGCCCAGAGACTAGGGCTTGACCAAAGGACACAGAGCGAATGGGTTCCTATTTGAACAATGTACAAAAGAGCACAGAGGGTTAGGCTGATTCCATGCAAGATTTGGACCTTCTTAATCAGTGGGTTCCCAGGAAGGTGATAGGCAAACACAGGGCACGTGACGACAGCACACACTGTAGGACAGGTTAGGGAAGGCTCATGAAGGAGGTGCCACTTGATCTGGCCTAGAAGGGGGGACCTCAGGGTGCACAGATGTGTTTGTACCCAGACCCTCATTCTGGAATCTTTGTGTCAAACAGCTGCTGTGGCACAATGGCAGACACTGGCCCCCCACACCACACCGCTGCCACATCCTGCCGGCTTGCCCCCTCTCACCTTGTCCATGGTAGCAGCTGGACATGAGCTATCGTCCTGGGTCAGGCTTGCCACAAAGAACAGGCCACATATATCCCCAAATCAGGGTTTGCTGGAGCATGGACTCAAGTGGGGAGCCCCTGGGTTTAGGATCCGCGGCGGCAGCTCTCATTAAGCAGGGCAGCTGGCCATCTCATTCCTGAGTGTGTCCAGGCAGTGGATGAGCTTGAAATCAATTTAGCTTTCTGCATATTTGATTTCCTAGGACCCACCGGCCATGTGAGGAGACAGTGTCAGGACTGCAGCACGGGATCGCCATGGAGACCAGAGGACTGGCCGGATCCAGGCAAAGCTCCTTCACTGGCCCAGGGCCTGCCAGGTAACTAGACTCAGTCTCACCTGAGGAAGGGGGAGGCAGAAGCAGAGGAAGGAAGCTCTGTCTCACGAAGAAATGGTGGGTGCGTTCTGGACTAAGATTGGAAGGAGAGAGAGGGAGAAGAGGACATCTATCCGTGAGTAATTTCCTCTTGGGTTACAGTTTCTGAGTTCAGAAAGTCTAAGAAAAATGCCTTTCTCTGAAATTGCTTTAATAAAATGTGATGTTGGAATTCTTGTTTCATTCTGGAGAATTGGAGAAAGGTGTGGGGAGGTGGGAAAGACAACGAGGGAAGGTTCAGAAAATAACTTCAAAAAAGACCTGCTGGCTGTGGATGAGCCCTGGGTGGACAGTGGCGCAGAGAGAGCGACAGTGGCATATTCAAGGCAGCCCCTGCAGGTCCTCACAGTGCGTGTTTCGACTGCATAGAGTGGGTCCTTACAAAACCACCTGAAAGTTAACTAGGCTCCGTGTCCCTGCTGATGACATCTGTGCTACGACTTCAGCTGCTTGAGGAAGTCATTTCATCTTTTCAAGCCTCACCTAGATATACATCTAATAAGCCTCCCCACCCCCACCCCAGTTTTCTGTGAGGCTGTCAGGCACTGATGACACGTGCTCACAAATCTTAGACTCATTATTTCATCCACCTAATTCTTTAACAATGTGCGTGCCCTACAGTTTTCAGTTAAGATTATTGTAAATTAATATATTTGTTCATGGTTTTCATCATGGAGGATGCTACCATTTTTAGTTTCATTGGTCCATTGTGGTCAGGCATTTAAGTGTCTTTCAGTGTTGTTTCTTACTACTAAAATGCTTCTTTGCAAAGAAGAGACACCTCCAGGCCAGCTCAAATTAAGAGTTCGGTGGTTGGGCAGGACCCTTTAAACTAAGAAACAGACCATCTTGTGGAGATGGAGACAATGGGCTCTTCAGAGGGGGTAGGGAAAGCTGCTGCCATCTCCTCATTTTCTCGTGGAGGTTCATGGTCTTTGTGCTTTTTTTCCCTGCTGGAAGTATTTCTGGCTTCTTCTTGGCACACACCAGCAAGTACCATATGATCTTCACCATATGATCTTGAATTGAAACATCAACTCCATCTTGGAGTCACTCTTGATGGTTCTTGGACTTGTGTGACTGGTTGTGGGGCACTTGTCCTTCTCTGGGCGTGATGGCTGGATAGGAGCTGGGGGTTATGACCTTACTTCCTCCTCCTTCCACCCCTGCAAAGGGAATGGGGTGTCCAGGGAGAGGTTGGACTGGCAGTACCTCAATATAAGTCTAGAGCAGTAGCTGTAAGCACCTCTGTAATGGGATGTATTCTTGCTTTAATTTATTCCTGTGGGCTAAGGGTCAGAAGAATAAGATTGGAGTCAAAGTATGGAACAATTCCTGACTATTCCAGTGGCTCAGAATTGACTTTATTGGGGACAGTGGCACACGTTGTAGATGCCAAGGCAGGGAAACCAGACACTGATCAATTGGTTGATAAACTGAGTGTCTCTTCCTGTGCCCCCCTGGCAGAGACAGGGAAGGCAGGTGGCAGGGCTGAGGGACGAGCTTTCCTGGAAAGCTCCAGCTAAGTTCACAGCTCTGGGGCTGTGAACTGTCTGGTGTCAGGACAGGACCTGACTCCAGGAGGAGGGGCAAGGCATGTCTGCATAACTTGCCTTTGGGGGCAAACAAAAAGTTTGTAAAGGAAACAATAAGACAAGGGTTGTGAAAAGAATCTGAATTGTGCTTGCTTCCTCAAACCTTGCTCTAAATTGTGTCACCATTTGGAAACAGCACAGTCACAGCAAAGACTCTACATTGGGCAACAGGAATGATGAGCAGCAAAGCTTGCGGCTGCCCCTCTTGAAGACTCATGACCTGGGCACAGCTCAGGCGTCAGGGTCAAAGCCATAATGAAGGCAGTGTAGCTTGTCAAGATCCTCTACCCCCAAGCAGCTGGTAGAGGGGAAATGGGTACTAGGCCCTGCAGAGTGGAGGTGAAATCTGAGCCCATAGTGCCCCGAGACCCCCACCCTGCCAGTCACCTCTGCTCTGGCCCCACCCTCCAGCACAGGGCCCACCAACTCCTCCTCAATGCCCCCCTGGGCGCTTTCAGGTTGTCACGCCTCATCATCTCCCTGCGCTCCTGGGCTGCCAGGCACGTACACCGCGAGGACCAGAGACCGGACTCTTTTCTGGAGCGTTTCCGTGAAGCTGAGCTCAAGGAAGTGTCCAGCCAAGAAAACAATGGCCGGTCAAACATGGACAGCCAGGAGCCACCAGATAGGCAGAGAAGGTAAGGAACCAAAGAGAAAGGAGAGCCCCCTGCACCCGCCAGGGCAGAGTTGGGACCACTTGCTTGCTCAGTGAAGCTTAGAGCCACCACATGGGTGATTCTGGAGCTCCAATCTTGCGAGCTGTCCCTTGAAGAAAGTGTCTCACAGGGAGAAAGTTGCGGCCCCTCATTCTGACCTGCGAGAGAAGAAACTCTCTGATCAGGGTCCTGCCCTATTCTGACACTGACCTGTCCTACTCAGAGCTTCTGCAAGCCCCTCCCGAAATCGATGCTCTCAGAAATACATTATCACCAGCCCCTCTTCATCAACTTAGAGTGCACACTACATATATTGCTAAATGAAACAGAGGCTTTCTACCAGCAGCCTTGGGGTATAAATGGCTATGGTCAGTATGCATGAATTCTTCTAGAAAAGAAGTTCTGGAAATTGTGTTACTGAGCAATGGAGTTTGCTACGTAACTTTCAAGGAAACTTACCCCATGACATCAGCTTTTGACAAGAACATTCATCTTTATCAAGCATTGGTTTGTTAAGAGATAGACTCAATGCTACCTCCCCAGTTAAAAAAGGAAATGAGTTGATACAGGTTTTGGGGCAACAGAGTTGAGAACCAAGGAGTTAACTTTTATTGAGTGAAAAAAAAGGGCTGAGGCAAAGAAATGTGACTTGGTTGAAACTCCATGGCTAGTTATAGGGCTGTTGATACCTGAACAAGTATGAAAAGACTTTCTTCAGATAATTCTAAACTCAAAAGGCCCCTCGCTTGGGTCACCCACCTCCGCTGTGTTCTCACTCTCCTGGCTCCAGGCGACCTTGGAGCTCAGCCCGGCACTAGCCACTAAGGCTGGATCCAGACTGTGTGTCTAGAAAAACAAGTATCAGAGAGAAGCTGAGACAAGTGATTTCCCCCCTCTTTTGTGCCTTTAGAGCCCCAGACCAATTTAATCATTTAGCCTCAGTTAAACTCGGTCAGAATTTTCAAGGGGAGCTATCCATGTTCCTGACCAGGGTAAGCACAATTGTGGGGGAGAAAAGGTGGGGAAAAGGGAGATGGGGAGCATGTTGGGAAAGGGGTCTGCAGACTGAGCTCTGAACACCCTCCTGCAGGGCCCACCACCTGACTGGGGCCTTGTGGCTGGTGCTACCTGGGCTGGACAGGCAGGAAATTCTGCAGGTGCTGGACGGACCCAGGCCACACGGAGCTGCTGCCTCCCCTGCTCTCACTCTTGACCATCTCCCCGTGATGGTCAGCGGGGAGGCACCACAGGGAGAATCAGTTGTGCTGGAGGAGGAGTCTTTTGGGAACAAGGGGGTAGTTGGAGGGGAGGGTGTGGAGGGAAACTGACCTCCTCCCAGCATCGGCAGGTGGACTCTTGCTCAGAACCTACTTTCTGGGAAAAAAAAAAAAAAGCTTGAACATTTCTTTTGACTGAATTCTCTAGCAGAGCCAAGGTGTATAGAGATGTAAAGAGAAGGTAAGATGTAAAGAGAAGGTAAGCATGACTTTTGCAGAATAGATGGTCCCTAGAGAAAACGCCATCTGATTTTGCATCAAATAAGCCAAAGGTCTTAGGTGTGGGCATCTCAAATGGGCACAGGAGAGACCCCAGGGAGTGAAGTTCATGAGCCTCATGAGAAAAGGACTGATTTTGCGGAGTTTCAGTTTACTTCTGCATTTATGCAGGGCTTAGGGACTATTTTTATTATATATAATGCAGTAGATTGCAAAAATGTACTAGCATATTTAAGATAAAATAGGAGAATCCAAGAAAATGCCTTGCAAGTGGCCACTTTAGGAGACCCGTGTTTAGCCTTCTCCTCTAGGAAGAGGGCTGGGCCGTGCTGGCTGAGATGCAAAGCCCAGCTGGAGCAGTACTGCCTGGCACACGTCACACGAGAGTGGGGTACTGGTGCTCAGGTTTGGGAAAGGGACCATGGAGGGCCTGGGAGCTGGCCAGGGGATGTGGAAGGGTCCTAGGTTCTCAGGCAGACATCCCAAGTGAGGGGTTCCCGGGTTGCAAAGCTCCATGCTGCTGCTGCTGCTGAGCCAGAAGGACGGAAAGCAGCTACGAAATGAGAGAAGATGGAGAAGGAAAGAGAGAGAGAGAGAGAGAGAAAATTCTTCCTAGCAAGCCACTCAGAGCGGTTCATTTCCTTTGGGGCAAGCAAAGGCTTCTTAACTGATCAAATCACTTTCTCCACAACCTTGAACTAAAGAAGATGAGTGAGAGACTTTCCAATTCCCAGTATGAACAGATGTAGAGAGTTGAACTAGGGTCTTATTAGGGGCAGGTCTGGTAACTCACCAGAAGGTTCAGAATGGGCAGATAAATGCAAGGTATAGGATGGTAACTGATCAAGCAGGGAGGCTTCCTGGGGAGGAAAATTGAAATTTCAAGACCAAATTCCCCTAGCAAAGTATTTTAAGAAACTGGTCTTAGTTTTGTGGAGTTGGCCTTATGATAATATGGGCACAGAAGCGTAATAAACATGGGTCACTGCACCCCAGGGGCTAATGTTTCTGTCACAATCTCCATGGGGTTTTGATTCCTCTGGGAATTTTCAAATGATCAGAATGAATCCTGAAATAAACAAATAGAGACACATCTTCAGTGGGAACAGGGAGAATTGGGCGGGGTTAGCATAAGTACCAAAATGGCTCTGGGAGCTCTGTAAGTCAGGCTAGCGTGTCATCACTGGCTTCAGTCTTTAGTGACCACAGGCAAGCTGCCTCCATCTCTGTGAGGTGAAGATGAATTTCTTAAACCAACTGTCAAAAACTTGCACTGACATTCAAGCACTTGGAGATGGCACCCTTTCTTGCAGACCTCCAAGAGAGCTAAGCAATGTAGCTTTAAATTGGCAAAAACCACTCTTGCCAGATTCTCACAAAGATCAGGGGTGGCAGACCCAGGAGTTTTAAGATGGGTGGGGGGACTTGAGGTAGGGAAGGATAGACTAACAGCTGGGGTGACTCTCTCTGTGGTCTATTTTAACCCCACAAAAACAGAAGCAGCTAGTGTGACTGGAGTTTGGAAAGAAGGTGCATCTTAAGAGCCAGACCTCTGCGGATGTTAACAAGCTGTCCCTTCAGCTGGCCTGTCCACTCTGGTACTAGAAGCAATAAAGGGCCTCACCTGAGAGCATCACAGGCCAGGCACAACATACAGGCATTTCTGTGCCCTTCTGAGCACCTGGCACACTGCCTGACACTTGGTTAAATGAGTGAAACTTGGGGCCTGGGTGCTGGATGGGATTCACAGGGTTAATCCCCAGTTATTCCTAAGTCTCAATATAGCTAAATGTTCATCCTCTCCTCCTCCAAGGCTTTTTCTAGAGTTAACTAGCCACCAAAAAAAAAAAAAAAAAATTTGTTCTCGACATTAACAACACCCTCTGTTCTTCAAATGGTGCGGAAAGGCCATGGAGATAGGGCATGGGCCAGAGCTGGCTAACCTGGGGCAGATGGTCCCAGCAATGGAACTGAGTTCAAATTCCCATGCTTGCTCTCTCTGCCTCCCTGCAGTGACTGGCCGCTGGCCAGAGACAATACCAACGCCTGCAACAACTGGGAGGAGTGAGTACTCTGGCCCTCTGGCCCCCACCTTCCTCCCTGTAGAAAGCCCAGTGAGTCCCTCCTTAAGTATTCCTGCTCTCCATCCTCCCAAGACTCCATAGACCATTCTAGTGCCTTGCTTTGGAATTCCATCTCCCTGGACAAACAGGGAGAAGAAACCCAGTGTGTATGATTTCTCTGGACAAATCCTTTTCTTTTTTTCTCACATTTTTCTTATCTTTAAAGTGGAGGGAATGGATGGCATAAACATGTTAAGCTTTAATATCTTCTGTTGCTAAATACAAGAGAGTACAATCCTGAGTTTCGTGAACATGGGTATTCTTCAAGATGAGAGGGCACTTTCCATTCTACAGCCTCAAGCTCCTGTGTGCCAGTGAAATGCCCTTGTCTTAAGGTCAATTTGGACCAATTTGGAGGGTATAATCAAGACAGTGGAAAGAGATTTAAATGTTTCTAGAGAATTGCCTCTTGAAAGGGTGACCTGCTGTGATGAATTCTTAGCACCACACGGCAGATCAGGTTGATGTATGATTCTGGCAAGTGCTACCCAAATGGCCAAGGTGGAAGCATGTGTGCATGTGTAATCACACACATGTTAGCATACACCTGTGTGTGCACTGTTCTCCAGCCTTCGGTATGAAAACTAACAGGCACACGGGGAAGGGAGGCCTCACTTGGAGCCTAGGGGAAAACCAAGACACCATTAGGAAATGCTAATTTCTTGAATTCCACTTAGAAAAGAAGTGTGCCAAAGCTTTTCATGTATTTCCCTTTGTTCCCCTGGTAGAACTTTTTTCTATTTCCCTCTGTAATTCATAGTTGTGTTTTGTTTACGTATATTTGGACATCAAGTCCAGAGACCCAAATGCCAGCAATCAAAGAAAGTGAAATGACTTGATCTGTAAAAACAAAAGCTATTGCAAAAGGTGCTTGATGTAAAACCCATCCTGATATTAAACACCCTTGAAATTCTGATATTGAGTCCCACTGTCAGAGTAAGAACCCTGGGAGCTGGGGACCCTGGGAGCCATGGACAGAGGTCCTGCGTCTCTAGGCTTCTTGGCCCTGAGGCCAGTCTCAGGATGTGGGGATAAGGTGGTTGGAACTGCCTACCTTGGCCACTTTTTCGAGTGGCTTCGCATTATGCATCTATACTGCAGTCAACGACTGAGACACGACATTGTGGAGTGTCCCAAAATGGGGTCACCTGGGCAAGAAGACATGGGAGCAGTTTTTATGGACTCCTCCCATGCTTCCACGACATTCTGGCATTTTTACCTAGACCCAAGAATCCTAAATAATTCCTCTTTGATCAAACTATTCCCAGCCAAACCAACATCATTTCACAGTTCTCTGAAGGTTGTTTGGGGGCAGTGCTGGGTGGGCCTGAGGATGTAGTTGGATGATGCTGGGTCTTTGCTAGGCCCTCAATGGTTTGGTAATCAGAGAAAAAGACAAGGCCGGGCCCTCCCTGGTGGCGCAGCGGGTTAAAGCACAGCACTGAGAATCTAAAGCCGCTTCTGCATGAGTTCGATTCCCGCCCGCCCCGGAGGTGACCACATGGTGTGGCAGACCTCTCCTGACCCGCCCGCTGCTCCCCTCAGCAGTGTACTTCATCGATCTGCCTGTTCTGTTCCCCACTCTGTCTCTGGTGAAGCCTCTCGCCGCCCCTGAGCCTCTGGCCTGTACCCCAGTTCTGTATGCACAAATAAATAAATTAAAAAAAAAAAAAAAAAAAAAAGACAAGGCCTCTAGCCATAGGCCATAAACAGAGGAAGCTGCCCGCTGAGCCTGGTGTGATTTAACTCCCAGCAAGGTGAAGTCAGATAAACTGGTGGGCAGCGCCCTCTGTTGGTTTCTTGGTGCTAAGACTTCAATGGCAAAAAACTTTGGGAAACAGTCAATTGACCAGGACAGAGCACAGATGACTGTCCTGCTTTTCTCAAGTTTAATAACTTTTTTGTTCTTATTCATACATTCATTTCAAAAACCTGGAAAATAGAAAAGTACCCTCAAGTATACACATACACAATATACTTCACATTAAAGGTAGAATCCCACTATCATGGATAACTTTTTTTAACATTTTGGCAAATATCCTTCCAAGGTTTCTATAGGTATATGAATTGAATTGACAACCAGATAGGTAGGTAGGTAGGTAGGTAGGTAGATAGACAGATAGAAGATGTATTTAATATATTGAACTGGTTAAGAACATTTGTATCCCAGTTTGACTACCTAAGAGCTTTGTGACTTTGGGCAAGATACCTGATGTCTTTGTGCACTGGTTTTCTGACTATTGTAAAATAGAAATTGAATGTTATCTTCCAGTGTGGTGTGAAAACTAATTGTGTTACTATGCAGAATGCACTTAGAACATTATTTAATACCTTCTCCATTAATACTGAATAGTGTGAGAGGCAGAATATTTTCACCCCCTTCCTCAAAGACTTCGACCAATATATCCTGATCCTGGGATCTGTGACTAGGTCCCTGTGGGGTAAGTGAAATGGTTGGGCTTTTACACCTCTTTTCTCTGTGGCTATCACCTGCGGCTTGAAAGAAGAAAAGACGCAGGAGCTGAACATGGGGCACACGTGTCTGATGGTGGCACCTGCAGTATGGTGTGGGCGTGCATAAATGGGCACACCTGGGCCCGGAGACTGAGGCTGGAAGGGCTGTGTCCCGCAGAGAAGGCTGAGGCAGAATGGCTGCCGCGGAGAAAGGCTACAAGCGGGCTTGCAACAGCTGCAAGGGGAAGCGTCCACGAGAGAAGGCCAGGGAAAGAGGGCAGAGCGGGCAGATTCGCAGGGGCCGGGTTGCTGTATCCTTGCAGATTTTCTCACAATGTTGTTACAAGTGCCATAGAATGCCATGCGGATGCCTTGCTCACTGTAGATTGATTTGCTGGGAAGTGCTAGGTACAGTGGGTGTTGGATTGGCAGACACAGTTCTCAGAACGCGCTTTCCGCTAGGACAAGACAGGGGAGTCACCGGGCCTGGGAATGATCCTGGTGGGTGCCCTACCCGCAGATGAGGTCTTTGACCTTCCCGCTGGGCTTCCTCGACTGTTCCATGGGCACCAATGCCTGCCTGCAGGGCTCTGGTAACTCTGAGTAGAGAAGGTTTGCCACAGGGCCTCTCCCTTACCAGACAAGCGTAAGGAAATGGAAGCAGACAGAACACCTGAACCCGCAGGTTTCCTGCAGGTAAAGCCGAAGGGTCTTCCCACCGACAGCCTCACAGCCCACCAAGCCTGGGTGTGTGTCTGGCATGGATGCATCTGCAGCAGACCCCTCTTCTGAACCCAGCACAGCCAGTCCTGCCCTGCCGGCTAGGCTTCCCTTTGAGCTCCCTGGCTGTTCTGTAGAGGCCCAGATTTGTATTTGACCCAGTTTTGAGAATGATTGACAGGCCACACTCTTTAGAACAAAGAACTTTACACGGGATTTCTAAATCTCCAAATGACTTCTCTACCCTAAATATGAATTTGGCTACATTTCCAGTTAGCTCAAAATGCCTCCAGTCTCAGGTTATTTGCAACCTCCTAGGGGATCACGGAAATCATAGAAAATTCGACGAAGTACTGTGTATTCTCCAGTGCATAAGATCTGTACTTTGGTGATATGGTTTTCCTCATACTTCAGGGAATTATAATCAATTCCTCATAATTATGATTACAGTAATAATTAATTATGAAGTCAATAACCTCATTTCATCCCAGTGTGTTGGAATTATACATTTCCAATGCATGCCCTCTCCTCCAAGTCACCTAGTCTACCCTGTCATGTGGTAGTGTCCTTAGTCCATGAAAATTGCTAAATGTCACCATGCATCAACCAGTGACGAGACGAGAAAGGAGGAGAAAGAGAAAAAGGAAGACGAGGAAAAGAAAAACTGTGAAAAACAAGAGGAGTAAGTACCAAGAGAAGCTGCCCCCAAAGAGGGGATTCAATAGTGAGCACAGGCCTGTTGCTCCCCAGGGGTCCAGGAACTGGGAGCCTTAGATCAGCACTGTTGGTCATTGAGAGAGGAAAAGGAATTGGCCCAGGGAAGGATCAGGCTTCCTGAGATCTTGTCAGTTCCCTCTGTGCCCCAATTGTGGAAACCCAGAGGAGTGAGCCATGTTTAGGTGAACATTTCCAAGCTCAGCTCTGGAAAGCTCCAGGAAATGAGCGTATTCACAAAGCTGTCCCCGATGCTTTGATATTCTCTCTGCCACCCCCAGTGACCTTTCCAAGCAAAATTTTCAACCCAGCAGCCTGCAGGGACTGGTGAACATACAGGTCATTGGCATAATTTTATAATCAACTCTGACATCTGGGGGAGCTGAACTGGAAGTGAAGTCTGGAGTCTGCCTTGCCCTCCAGCCTGTCTCCCCACCAGGGACACCCGTTGCTATATCATGAGCGTGATGGGGTCCTGTCTTAGCCAACCATCCTTTGAGCTTCAGTCTGCAATTGCTCCAGCGCCTCTAAGCTAGGCCATGGGCTCAGTGGCCCCAGCCCACTGCCCTGCTTGTGTATGTCTGTCATGTTTCCAGAAAGAAGGATGCCATGGTGGTGGACCCCTCCAGCAACGTGTACTACCGCTGGCTGACCATCGTTTCCATACCTGTCTTCTACAACTGGTGTCTGCTCGTGTGCAGGTAGGGAGGCTGAGACCCAGCTGGACCAGGGGTGGGGAGAGAGTGGAGACTGCCAGGCCACCAGACAGAGCACTGAGTCACTCAGGAGCCCAGATTTCTGGACCTCAAGGTCACCTCCAGGGACAGATGCCTCAGTTTCTCCAGTCCCAAGGGGGTGCTAACAGAGGAACTTCAGGATGCTACAAAGCACCAGTGGGGACCTGGATCTATAAAGAGGTTTCTGGAACTTTAGGGTCTTCTTAAGTAAGCTGTAGGTGGAAGATGCGCTTCCTCTACTGAGAGGAAGTGGCTAGTGAAATGAGCAGGCCTGCAAGACAGGGATGCATCTGGGTTGCTGCTTCCTGAAGGCAGGTTTGGGACTCAGGAAGTTCCCAAACAACATGTACTTCTGGCACGCATTAACAAGCTATTGATCTTCTGGGGAGAAAGCAGAGGCCCTGGAACTTTCCTAAGCAAGCTGCAATGGGGGACTGCAGGGGTGAACTCTAGTAAGGAGTGAGGAGAGTGGGGCTTTGGGTCTATTCTAGGAAGCCTGCTTTTGGGAATTTGAGGGCAAGAATTCCCAAGACGAGAATGCTGCTCATCTAGGGTAAGTGGGGGGTAGACTTGGGCTTTCCCAAGTAACCCTGTAGGAGGGGGGTACCTGGGGCTATGTTCTTCTGAGGGCAGGTGAGGGTCTCATTCCTGAGCAAGCTGCAAGATAGAAACACAGGTGAGCACCTGTCCTCTGAAGGCAAGTGGGGTCAGCACAGAAAAGCCTGACTGGCTTCTTCTCCTAGTCAGGGAGGGCCTGGAAGGTTGATTCTCTGCTATAAGCCCTAGGCAGAGCTGTTGGGGGAGGAAATGACCCAATGTTTGCAGCACAGAGCTGGTGCCCCCACTGGTCCCTGTTCTGATCCTTCTCCCACTGGTTTAGGGCCTGTTTTGATGAGCTGCAGTCTGAGCACCTGGTGCTCTGGCTGGTCCTGGACTACGCTGCAGATGTCCTCTATGCCCTGGATATGCTGGTGCGAGCCCGGACAGGTGAGTGTGCTGGGGCCAGGGACTTCTTGACCCCATAGACCACTGAGCCCACGGCATGCATTGGGAGAGAGACCCGAGGAGCAGGCATGTTCAGAGAGACCCAGAACGCAGGTGGGCACCACCTCCTCTGAGCAAGCCAGCCTGGCAGCTCTGGAACCCTCCAGTGGTGAAGTCAATTGACAGGCCAGAGTTGGTGGTGCCTGCCTGCGTTCTGGATCTCATAATGTTAAATATATCAGAGAGAGAGAGTAGTACTATGAATTCCTGTGTATCCTTACCTCAAACTTCACTAGTTATCCAATTTTGTGAATCTTGTTCATCTATTTCCTGACACCCCCCCCCCAATCCCTTTTTCCTGGCTGGAGTATTTTAAAGCAAATTCCAGATAGTAACCACTTTAACATCTATCTCTAAATTTAAAGGGCCTTTTTTTTTTTAAATAGAGCTTCCATTTTTTTGTTTAAAACTTAGCAATTATTCCTACTACCCTAAAATGCCAAATTCACTTTGAAGTTTACCCAATTGATCTATATTTTTAATTGAATAAAATAGAATATCGTTGCAAAGAAAATGTCAGAATGCATTTCCTGTGATAGTGGTAGGGGTGGCTTTTGCATTTGTTTCTATTACATAGATAAATATATCTTGTGTAGTCCCAAGATAAATGATCTTCCTGTGGACCATGGCCAAAAAATGGCTACCCCATTGATGTCCAAATGATGGCTTTTTCTTTAGGCTTCCTCGAGCAAGGCTTGATGGTCAAGGATGTGGAAAGGCTGTGGAAGCATTACACAAACAGCTTGCACTTCAAGCTGGATGCACTGTCCCTGGCCCCCACGGACCTGGCTTATTTAAAGCTGGGCATGAACTATCCCGAACTGAGGTTCAACCGGCTGCTGAAGTTTGCCCGACTCTTTGAATTCTTCGACCGGACAGAGACGAGGACCAACTACCCAAATGTGTTCAGGATTGGGAACCTGGTCTTGTACATCCTCATCATCATCCACTGGAATGCTTGCATCTACTTTGCCATTTCCAAGTTCATTGGTTTTGGGACAGATTCCTGGGTTTACCCAAATATCTCCAACCCAGAGTATGGGCGCCTCTCCAGGAAGTACATTTATAGTTTCTATTGGTCCACCTTGACCCTGACCACTATCGGAGAAACCCCACCCCCTGTGAAAGACGGGGAGTATCTCTTTGTGGTCATAGACTTTCTGGTGGGTGTGCTAATTTTCGCCACCATTGTGGGCAACGTGGGCTCCATGATCTCAAACATGAATGCCTCTCGGGCAGAGTTCCAGGCCAAGATTGATTCCATCAAGCAGTATATGCAGTTCCGCAAGGTGACCAAGGACTTGGAGACACGGGTTATTCGGTGGTTTGACTACCTGTGGGCCAACAGGAAGACAGTGGATGAGAAGGAGGTGCTCAAGAACCTTCCAGATAAGCTGAAAGCCGAGATCGCCATCAATGTGCACCTGGACACCCTGAAGAAGGTCCGAATCTTCCAGGACTGTGAGGCAGGGCTGCTGGTGGAGCTGGTACTGAAGCTGCGGCCCGCGGTGTTCAGCCCGGGGGACTATATCTGCAAGAAGGGGGACATCGGTAGGGAGATGTACATCATCAAGGAGGGCAGGCTGGCTGTGGTGGCCGACGATGGGATCACCCAGTTTGTGGTCCTCAGTGATGGGAGTTACTTTGGGGAGATCAGCATTTTAAACATCAAGGGGAGCAAGTCCGGGAACCGCAGGACGGCCAACATCAGGAGCATTGGCTACTCGGACTTGTTCTGCCTTTCCAAGGATGATCTGATGGAGGCGCTCACCGAATACCCGGATGCCAAGAAGGCCCTGGAGGAGAAGGGACGGCAGATCCTGATGAAGGACAACCTGATTGATGAGGACCTGGAGAAGGCTGGGGCAGACCCCAAGGACATTGAGGAGAAGGTGGAGCACCTGGAGTCTTCCCTGGACACCCTGCAGACCAGGTTTGCACGGCTTCTGGCTGAGTACAGTGCCACCCAGATGAAAGTGAAGCAGCGTCTCAGCCAACTGGAAAGCCAGGTGAAGATCTGTGGGAGCAGCCACCAGTCTGATGGGGATGCCCCTGAGGAGGCCTCGAGAGCAGAGGCCAAAGAGCAGTGAAGACCCAGGGTCTTCCTGCTTTGCAGGCCCAGCGGTCTAGCGCTACGTGGCTACCACTGCATGGCATGGGATGTGACCAGAGTCTCATTTCAGCGCTCCAGACCCTGCAAGCTGTGTGGCCTGGGGAGAGAACCTTATTTCCTTGTCTGCAAAACAAGGCTCATCGGCAACCGTGAATGATGTTGAGGTCCACATGAGCCATGGTTGAGGCAGGACTGTGAGGCAGAGCTGCTGCTAGAGCTGGTGCTGAGGCCGCGGCCCTCAGTGGTCAGCCCGGGGGACTATGTCTGCAAGAAGCGGGACATCGGAAGGGAGATGCACATCATCTAGGAGGCTGGCTGGCTGTGGTGGCCGACAATGGGATCACCCATTTGTGTGGATCTGTCAACCACAAACTGATGCCTCTACCTGAACATAAGAAAGTGCTTGAATAGGATTTTTTATTTTTTACCCATGAGAAATTTTTAAACTTTTGAACTTCATTGTCTTGTAGTGGAAGATTAGTTAATCCTCTTCACCCTTTCACCTCACCACGTCCTTTTGATAAACTGAGTGTGCAACATGGCGATTCAAATTTACATGAGGCAGTCTGCAGGCATATTTCTGAATCTGGCATCTCCCGTGTCTTCCTTGCGTTCCTAGACACCCCTACTCCAGCCCCTGTGGAACTTTATCTATCTCCTAGAAAAGAGCATCTCAAATAGGGAAAGAGACTGTCCCTCCTCGTTCACCAAAGGTATTCAAAGACAGCTTCTCCCCTTGTCCTTGAGTGGGTTTCTGGGGCAGCCTATTTTACCTGCAAGAAGCAAAATGTGTTCAGGGGAGATTCTTGCAGGTTAGCGATGGGAATGGGGTCCTTAGCAAACAAAACTGATAACTAGGACTGTAGAAGATGAGACCTCTAGGTCACATCTTTGCAAACTGCCCCTTCAGTTTGCAAAGCATCACCCTGCCTTGCAATTACATTCTGAGGCAAAGCTCTTCGCTACCTATTCAGAGAGCAGAATCTAGCTTTTTTTTTTTTAATCCCGCGAAATTAATTCCATTAGAAATACACAAGGCACTTATATAGTTGTGTTCTATGATTGATTGCAACTTACGGCCTCAGTGGTCCATCCTTCACTTACATGTTATTATCACCCAACATGAGTTATTCTGATACAAAGAAGCCATATATCTGTTTTCCTTTTCAGCCTCTCTCTCTATTGACATCTATCTTCCTTCCTCCCTTTTCTCCTCCCCTCCCTCTTCTTCCTTTCTTTATCTCTTCTCAAAATGCCCACTCCCCCTCCTTTACTTCAGCAATTTTTAAGCCTATGGCCTAATATTATAATACATATGCCACATAACTGGGCCCTAATGTAGTTTTTACAAAAGGTGCTGCATTTTCATGTATGTATTTTAGATTGAGATGGGTCTTTTCTGGCTTTTATTATGGATCACTTAGTCATTTTAACTTTTTAAAATGAATGTCAAGGGTATATTAAAGAAAAGTATGCTTCAAGCTCATATCATCAGCAAAATACACTAGCAATGTAGACTCAAAATGCACATATTTTAACAGCCTTAACCATTCATCTTGTCTACATCCATATTTGCCCAGGAAGAATAAAGACCTGGATTTTAAAAAAAAAATGTTGAATGACTCCTGATTCCATATCATAAGCCCAGAGTCCTGGGCTCCTTCTCTAGGGCAGAGAGACTGGGTTCCCTGGGAAGAACGGGATGACGCACACGCCACAGGAGAAGATGCGCACGCGCAGCCAACAGAGCTGAGAAAATGCAACCAAAGCGGCAACGTTTGTCAGAATAAATACATGAGAGCGTTCAAATCTAGAAGAAGTAAGTTCCAGGCATGGATGCTAAATTCTCTGGCCATTGGTCCAGGGTCACTGTGAAGGTGAGGTGGGAGGATGGGGGTGTATCCCGGCAGCTTGGGAAGACTCAGGTGAGGTGGAGCCGGGGCAGCCCAGGTAAGTAGATACCCAGCTCTTTGCACTGCTTAGGCCAAGGGGTTTGGGTGATGAGTTAGGTTTGTAGGCAGGGGAGTGGGGGGACAGGCCTTGCCACTCGGGCACATCCTTTTACATCTATAGGCTGCATTTTCCTCGTCTGGGAGTGATACTCTAGTGCTCTTGGGGGTGGCCTCGTAAACCACTTTGGTGCAGAAAACATCAAGTACTTTCCCAGAGGAATAAATGAATACAATTTCACCTGGTCGGCTTCCAGATGACAAGATTGCTGGGAAGTTGTGTCTCAAGCTGTTACCAGGACTCCTGTTCACTGTCTTGAACCTGAGAATGTTTCTGCTTGAGACCAGGCTCCCTCTGCACCAGGTTCAACCATGGGGAGCCATGCTGGAGCCATACTTGTGGAAATTTAAAGGCATTGAAGACGTGTGTGTGTGTGTGTGTGTGTGTGTATATAGACAGAAAATCCTTGAAATAGGAGAGAAAGGAAGTGTTGAGGTATGAACTGATGTGGTTTGCCTGGTAGCAGCCTGGGGAGAGGGACTGGTAGGCCCTCACATGATAGGGCTGAAACTTTGACCCAGGGACACCCCATCTTGCAAAGATCCCAGTGCCTCTATGAGCTTGGGAATCCCAAAGCTGCTCCACCTCAAGGAACCAGGCAGGGTTAGAAAAGGGATATCTTGGCAGTCACCAGTACAAAGAGTATCTGAAGGTATTTGTAACTCAACTGATGCATCAAGAAAGAAGCAATCATTTTGAAGCATTGACCTTCAGAGTTGTGGTGCTATCAACTCTCAAGTTTAAGCAGAGCCAGGGATGTGCTATCACTGTACGAAGCAAATTTAGTGCATGACAGACCCTCTGCCAGGACTTTATCTGATAGACGCTAAGTCCAGCTCCCTTCTCTGGATCTTACACCATTTGCAATACTCTGTGAAAAGAGGTAAAATGCAAACAGTGGTGAGCAAAATGAAGAATAAAACCATTTCACTAAGTACAGAAAGTAATTTCATCAAATTAAAGCTGCTTCTAGCTGTGACCCAGAAACCCTACCTCTGACTCCATGTCATAAAAAATCTTCCTGTGAGTGTTCCAAGAGACAAGTGTTTGTTGTTGCATTGTTTTTGATGGAAAAAGGAAAGAATCTAAATATCAGCATCTCAGATATGTTAGAAAAAATATATGCAATATTTTAGATATTTCACCAGAGAACTTAATAGAGGGAATCAACCATATGGGCATTAGAGGGTAGCAGGCCAGAAGTAGAGCCCTGAGGTTATCTGGAGAGCGATTGAGTGATTACCGGAAGCAACATTCCCCGCCACCCCCCCTCCCCCATGGCTGAGGACACAAAGTAAGGCACACTCAGAGGAGAGCCCCCCAGAGCTGGGGCTCAGACTTCAGGATGTGTTGCTGCTGGCTGTTATTGGCAATTTAGGAGCTCAGTGGCAAAGATGGGACTCTGGACATCATCTGAAGAGAAACATTTCATGATGAGTTTGGCTCTCTGAGCTTAAAAGGAAAGCTAGAACATGGTCAGGGTAACCTATTCTGCTAGTGCCACATGACTAGGACCACAGGCAAGCAGGACTGTCCTTTCTCCTCTCCCACTGTCTTCCAGTCTCCTCAGTGGTCTCCTAATAGAGAGTTCTAGAAAGTGGAGGGCAAAGGGAAGGACCTTGGACTTGCCTAACAGGATGTCATCCACAGACTGGAGGCCCTAGTGAGATGCACCTGGAATAGGAGAAGACCAATGGCCTCAATAAATGACCCCCAAATCACGGATGACTCAACCACCATCAATGCTTTTTTTCCTTTCAAGAATGTAGAAATCCTAAGAAAAGGTAGGATGGAGGCAATGTATTATTTACCAAACACCCTCTGTGTACCAGGGTCTATGCTTCAAGATAATGTATAAATTTCCTCAGTTAATTACTGCATCTATGAGGGGAAATGTTTCATTTTCTAAAGACTTCTTTTAACATAACAACGTAATTAACATCATTCAATAATTTTGAATGTATACATTGCACAAAAATTGATGAATTGCTTTCTTGTAAAACACTTATTAGGATGGTTAACTCCAAGGAACCGATCTTTGGGAATGTTGCTGAGGATCTGAAGCAGCGAGAGCGCTCATTCATTGCTGGTAGGTGTGTAAACTAGTACAGCTCTTTTGGAAAATAACTTGGTATCTTTATAAATTTAAAAATATGTTGAACACTGATCCTGCTATCACGTTCCTAAGCATTTACCCAAGGACATGTAAAACCTATTTTAGCAAAAATATCTATATATAAATGTTTATAGAACTTTATTCATAAACATCAAAAACCTGGAAACAGTCATCTTGCCATTGAGCAGATACAGAGATAGAAAAACAAGGGCATAGCCATATTACTCAATTCTACACAGCGATGAAAATGATTCACGTAAATAAAAAAAATCCATTCCTATGACATTCTGAAAAAAGGCAAAACTATAAGCATGGAAAATAGATGAGTGGTTGTCAGAAGTTGTGGGAGGGTGGAGAGAGGAAATAAGGGGGACATAGAGTTTTGTGTTTTTTTTGTTGTTGTTTGTTTTTTTTAAGATTTTTATTTATTTATACAGAACTGGGGTACAGGCCAGAGATGTGGAGGGTGAGAGGATTCACCAGAGCCAGAGTGGGGAGCAGAACAGACAGATCAAGGAAGCACACTGCTGAGGGGAGCAGCGGGTGGGCCAGGAGAGATCTGCCGCACCATGCAGTCACCTCCGGGGCAGGCGGGGATCGAACTCATGTGGAAGTGGCTTAAGCTTCTTTGTGCTGTGCTTTAACCCGCTGCGCCACCAGGGAGGGCTAGGACATAGAGTTTTTAATGCTGCTGGCTGGTGGCTAGATGATGCCATCCATTGCCTAAACTCATTGAACTGGACATCACAAGGAGTAACCGTTACTGTATGGAAATTCAAAAATATCAACCAGAATATGGGGCAGTACCCAAAAGGGAAGAAGTTGTGATGAATGAATTGTGTGTGTGTGTG